ATTGATAAGATTGATAAACAAAACCTTTTTCTTCCGTACCACTGAATTTGTTCCTTTTTTTTTTTTTTTTTTTTACCTTTGATTTCTAAAAAAAAAAAAAAAAAAATAAATTAAAAATTAAAAAAAAAAATAAATTAAAAATTAAAAAAGTTTAAATAAAAAAATAAATTAAAATTAAAAAAAATAAATTAAAATTAATTATAGAAAATACATACAGTTTGCTGGTCTGTGAACATTCCTCCTCAACGTCTGATTCTAGATTGTCCAAAAATGTTAGCGGGCTATGAAAAGTAATATGCATTCTTCTTTATTGTCAGCATGTATTTCTGCATTTTTAAGAGAAGACGAGCTTGAAGATTAACCTGAAAACAACATATTTAAACTAGTTCAAGTTTTAGTTCTAGAAGGCAAGCATTTTTGAGACGTGGGATCAACAATTAATATATGTGGTTGATCAAAAATAATTTTAGCGGCAAATTTGACGGTTTAAAGTTACTTTTTAAAACTTTATGCACAATATAGGAAAAGATTTTCGTTCATGTGTTAACTAACAATTATCTTATATTAATAAAGAACTTATTTTCATTTTAGGCTGCCAAAATATTATAAACCTATTTTAATTAAAGGCAGGGATTCGACCCGAACTAAATACAAAAAAATTTCTTTTTTAAGGTTACTGATACTACTCTATTTTATTAAAAATGTAGAATAAATAAAGTTGTAAAATTACTACAACAACAAATGTTACGATGGGTGAGTTGTCTAAATTCGATAATAAAAATATTTTATATCATTATTAATATGTAAATGCATTATAAATAAATTCGAAAAAAGCTAAAATTCCTTTTAATGTTGATAATTTTAATTTATTTAATTGAAATATAAAAGAAGCACAAGAAATTAACATAGAAAAAAACGAAAGAATTCCTCTCGTAGTGAATAAAGGGAATCCAAAGAATCCATGGAAAATTATAAAATCTTTGAATTTTGTCCAGCGTGTTACATTTCTAACTGCATTTTTAGGATGGACATTGGATGCCTTTGATTTTTTTACCGTATCTTTTGCACTATCTTATATAGCAGATGATTTTAATAAGAAACCTTCCGAAATTGCTTCAAGGTTGATAGTTCATAACGGCTTTTATTTCTCTTTCATCTTTTTTTGTCGCATACATTTCTTTCGCTTCGCTTTGTTGCTTTTTAATTTTCTTTTATCATTCTTTTTGATATAAATTATTATTTTATTATTTTTAAAAAATTAATAGTATTACTGCCACTGTAATGTTTCGACCTGTTGGAGCTCTAATATTTGGTCAATTAGCTGATCGATATGGTAGAAAATATCCACTAATGGCTGTTATTTTATTATATAGCATTGCAGAACTTTCTTCAGGATTTGCACCAAATTTTCAAGTTTTTGTCATTTTACGAGCAATTTTTGGAGTTGCTATGGGAGGAGAATGGGGTTTAGGTGCCGCGTTAGCAATGGAAACTTTGCCTACTGAAGCTCGTGGGTAATAAATAATTATTAAAACGATTTCCACGTGATTATATTACTATTTAACTATTTTTCGTATATTTTAACAGTTATCATAATTTTCAATATTTAGTTTATTTTCGGGAATTTTACAACAAGGTTATTCGACAGGATATTTAATTGTCGCTATATTTTATTCTGTGATAATTAGAAATTTTGGTTGGAGAGCAATGTTTTGGATCGGTTCAGGTCTTTCAATCCCTATTATAATTCTTTGTTTCTTTATTCCTGAATCACATTCATGGAAAAATAATCACTCGAATCAAAAATTCAAGGGAAAAAAATGGTATATAGAAATAAAATTCGTTTTAAGAGATCATTTGATAAGAATAATTCATACTGTATTATTAATGGCATGTTTTAATTTTATGTCTCACGGTAAGAAATATTCTAATTTATCTTAATTTTCTTAACAAATCCTATTTTATTTACCAATTTATTATTATTTAATTTACATAATTATAGGTACACAAGATTTATATCCAACATTTCTCAGAGATGAGCTTAATTTTAGCCCACAAGAAGTGACACTTACCACAGTAGTTGCTAGCATAGGAGCAATAATTGGCGGTACAACATTTGGATTTTTCTCTCAATCTTGGGGACGTAGACTTGCAATTATCATTTGTGCATCATTTGGATTTTGCTTTCTTCCATTATATGTATTACCTCAAAATCGATGGTTATTGACATTTGGTGCATTTATGTTATATTTCTTTGTTCAGGTAAATTTTTAGAATTAATTTTCTTTTAGTTAAAGAGATGATCAAGGAGAATGAGAAAGGGAATGAGAAATAATAATGATAATAATACTAACTATATTATCAAATTATTTAAATACGTAAATAAATAGGGAGCTTGGGGAATAATACCAGCACATTTAAATGAGTTATCACCACCAGAATTTCGTGGTACATTTCCTGGGTTAACATATCAATTAGGAAATCTTATAGCTGCATCTTCGGCTCAAATAGAAGCTACATTAGGCGAGAAATTTACTAAAAATGGAAAACCAAATTATGGTTTAGTTCAAGCAATATTTGCGGGGTGTGTTATGGTATTACTTATTTTCTTGATAGCTATTGGAAAAGAAGATAAAGAAATAGATTTTGAAAATAATGATAATGAAAGTAATAATGAAAACAATAGTAATAAACAACCACAAAATAGTAACTAAGCTATTGATATCACTGCTGATAAGAATGGATAGCGATTAAAAAAAAACTTTTAATATTTCTTTTTCAATTATTTAATTAGTTAATTTTTATTATTATGTAATTTAATGGAACTCATCATTTACATTTTTATTTTATAAATTATAAATGCCTACTTTTCATTTACTTTTTTTTTATTAGAGACTCGAGTATAAAAATGCTTCAAAATTTGAAAGAACTTGTTTGCAAGCCTAAACAAAATGATATCTTATTTATAACAAGAATTCAGGTTCAGGGCATTTTATTATCTTTGAATTTTTAATTATTAATATTTTAGTAGTATATTTTTTTATATTCTGTTGCATTTTATTATATTCTTATATGATTTCTTTCTTGAGGATGGATTCTTAAATAAATTCTTAATATCACTTACCTGATTTCCCTTTTTTTGTATTACTTATTTGATTGATATCACAAAAATAATAGGTAAGATATTTTTTTACCAAAAGAAGATTGCTTTACATAAAAAATTAATTTACCATTCGCACAATATTTATTTTTCTTATTTTGACTAAAAGGCAACGTTCTATTGTTTAAAATTGCAACCTTTTTTTATTCATTACAAATCTTCTTATTATGTAATTTAAAAAATTATATACTTAATCAATAACATTTGGTCTAGTTTTCAAGAATTAGTAATCTCAACACAATTATTTTTTTATAATTAGCACTTTTGTTAGCAAGGAATTTTACATAAAAAAAAATAAATTTATCATTTGCACAATTACATAAACAAGGATTAGTAATCTTAACACAATTATCAATACAAATTTGATATAAGTAATTTCAAATTAGTAAATTTTTTAATATTTGTAACACTTTTATAGTTAGCATGAGATTTTACATAAAAAATTAATTTTATCTAATTAAAGATAAGTAAAGATAAGTAATTTAAAAATAATGTATAATTATCATAATTGTTTAATACAATTACTCATTGTATTAATATAAAGCATTTAATTTTTTTGTGTAAAGAAATTAATATAATGCATTACAATATTATTGTGCAAAAGAGAATACTTTTTTTAAATATAAAAAAAAAACAATAAAAACAGGTCAAACACAAAGGAATAAGCAGCACAAAAAGGAATTCTGATTTTAGCTGATTTATAGGAATTCTGATTATTGCTGATCTTTAATATATGAATCACCGTTCAGTACAGTAATTCTTTTGCATTTGATGATTGAAATTCATTACATTTTCTTTTAAAAAATTCACATTTGTGAGTTCATGTAATGGTAAAGGCTACATGTCAAAAGTCATAAAAGTACACTTTTTGCCATTGGATGATCACATTTGTCAAAAAAAATAAAACTAAAATTCGAATATAAAATCTTAAATTTAAAATCAAAAAAAAAAATTAAAATCAAAAATTCAATCGAAATTCACATTCACAAATTTGCATCATGTCTAAAGTCACAAGATACAGAACTGTGATATGTAAATGGTCAAAAAATATCAAAATAAAAATCAAAATTCAATCAAAAAAAATCAAAAATTCAAAATCAAAAACTCACACTTGCAAGTCTGCATCATGTTTACACTGGTCGAATGATCAAAAATCAGAAAATTTTTTGGAAATTCTAGCCAAAAAATCAACTAAAATTGGCCATCTAACTTTTGGGCAATTTTTGGATGATTTTTAATAATAAAAAAGAAAAAATTGATCATTTTTACTTTTTTTATTAGTAAAACATCAAAACTGTTGCTAAGTAAAATTATACTGAAAACTAAATACACCTACTAAAAAAAATTTAGATCTAATGTTCACAAATTGAAGGAAACTAGGCATTTAAATTATGAACGGATATTCAAAATTTAAATGTCTCTATTTCCTTTGATTTGTGAGATTTAGATCTAAACTTTTTTCAGTAGATGTATTTAGTTCTCAGCTATAATTTTTCTTACTAACGTTTTTGATGTTTTACTAAGTAATAAAGTAAAAATGATCGATTTTTTCTTTTTTATTATCAAAAATTATCCAAAAATCGTCCAAAAATCAGATAGTCAATTTGCAAATCAAACAGATGATTTTCAGGCAATTTGAAAATCGGATGCCAAAAATTACCATTTATCATCTTAACTATCAAAATATTTCAAATACTTTAGGTTTGCTATATAAGAAGCTGCTTCTTTTAAAAATTCTTTATTTGCACATATGCATTTATTAATGGAGTAAGATGTAACTTCTCATACAAATCCTATTACAAAAATTGTTAAATAAGTGAATATAATTCATTTTTAAGAAAAATTTTACAATAATAGTACTTTAATAAATTCTTCTTCAGTCACGTAATTTCCTATTTTACTAATTTCTAAAAGTTTTCAAACATTTGAATTTTTTTTTAATTTATTGAAAAATTTTTTCATTTCCTTTTAAGTGAGAGAAGTATTGTTATCATCTAATTAGTAATATATTAGTATGTATATTAAAATATTGAGAAGTTTTTTGAAAATTATCAAAAATTATCATCATCAATTTTAATACTTCTGTTATCATTTTTCTTCATTTTCTTGAAACAGAAGTGAGAGTTATTTGTAAGAGTGATGATAGGTGAGGACTTACTATTATACATGATGATGATATTGGTCTTGATATTGGTCTTGATACTGATCTTGATATTGATGTTATTGTTACCACTGTTTTTGCTAATGTTGTCACCAAGAGTTCCTGGTTTCCATAAGGTTAAACCAGTGAAGTGGCTTAATGGTTCTTTTAAGGAATTTATAGTCCTTTCCCAAAGGTAAGACTGTTGTTCAGTTGTTTTAGAAGGTACCACTGATTCAATTTATTTTAGAAAGGAAATCAGATCTTTTATCCAATTCATTCCAATATCTTTCAAGTTTATTATTACTTTTAGTATTAACATCTATTATTAATTGTTTTTCAGTTTTATCATAGTTGAGTAATACTTCCATTCATCCAGGTTAAATATTATTTTAAGTCCAAGGTTTATAAAAATAGTTTGTAATTAATTTCATTAACTCAAGAATAATAATATTATACAATTATACAATCAAGTATTTAATCCTATAA